TCTTGGTATACATGTTATGTGTAGTAGAGTGTCTGTTTGTAGTGTGTAGATTTGCTTGTTGTAGATTATAAAAGAAAAATTAATAAAAGTGTACCCATGGGTACTTAAAAAAAAAAGAAGAAGAATAAATTATGCAAATAGAAAAAAGGGCGATACAGATCCCAGCTTGGCCAACGGCACTGTTGGGATTATGAAACAGAAGTCAGCAGCAGCAAAGGATAATGTGCATAAAGCCCATCCTGCTGCGTTGCCGGAGCCAGAGCCAGAGGTCGTCCCCCACTTACCATAGACAATGTTTAGCAACCAGCTGTGCGGGGTATAAATGTCACACGCAGCCACGTTATTTCTCTGCGCTGGCCAGTCGATGCTGTAATAGTCTTGTACGTACAGTTCCTGCAAAGAAAAGACCACAGGGCAACCTGAGACAGGGCCTTTTCAGTGGTGGCACACTGCCTGTGGAACGTCCTTCCCTTGAGGCTCAAGGCTAGTCTGGAGGCCTCCCCTCCTATCTTTTAAGGCCCCAGCCAAACCATTTCTTTTTTACCCATAAAGGGTAGTAAGACCTAAGGGAGTTTATAAACTGCTTCTAGAGTCTGCTTCTGATTGAGTTGCCAACCTGCAGGTGGGGCCTGGAGTTCTCCCAGAATTGCAACCGATCACCACGGGACAGAGATCTATTTCCCCGGAAGGGTGAATCTCTGAGATCATATCCCCACTTCCCAAACTCCCCCCTCACATTCCCAGGCACCATCCCCAAATCTCCAGGAATCCCCCAGGCTGGGGCTGGCAACCCCAACTTGTGGCCTGAGACTTGTTTATCCTGAGAATCATTTTACAAGATTTGTTCCAAGCTGCTTTGTACTTTTATACTGGTTTTATATACTCTTGAGTTCTTAACAATTTGTTAATTTCCAGTTATTCTGAGGCTGGTTTACGTTTTTATCGTGTTTTACTCTATAACCTGCCTCTAGCTGGTTCTTTGAGAGGCAGGGTAGGCATTCTCTAAATGACTAAAAACAGCTAAGAATTGTAAAGAAGAAAGATTCAGCTGCAGTAAATGGATTCACAGGGACTCTTCAAAGCCGCCTCTCAGCAAAGCAAAGAACCTCGCATAGAGTAACTTTGCTCGTTTTAAATAAAACCATACACACACACACACAGAGGGCTTTTTTGGTAGAAAAAGCCCAGCAGGAACTCATTCGCATATTAGGCCACACCCCATGCCTTCTCTTGGCTTGCCCAGGTGCCCCGCACCTGTGGGCCGCCTGGGCAAGCCAGCTCTTGGACAGACCAGGGAGGCATTTAAACACCTCCCTAATCCTTCCAGAGCCCCCCTGGCCCACCCACCTCAGAGTCGCCTGGGGGGGGGGGAGTGAATTTTCATTGATATTTGACAGGAATGTGGATTTTTGGCTTTGTTCTTGGCAAGAAACATAACTGCAGCACGGCAGTAGTCCGGCGAGGAGTATAACTGTGAGGGAACTGTTTGTGCGAGATTCCTTAACTGGGTGGCCATGACATTACAGAAGGCCAAGGCTTTTTTTTGTGCCGGAATGGAGTTCCAGACCTCTTTGACAAAAAATTTTAAAAGCTCATGAGTTTTCAGTATATAGATTGAAAACTTCATTTCCCTCTTGAGGAGTTCTGGCACCTCTTTTTTTTTTTTAAGTCTCGCTGAGAGAAGGCTAGAGAGGGAGGAAGAAGTGAGGCCTGAAGTACCTGCCGGAGGCTCAGGACAAGTTCATCCTCTGCCGTGGTCAGGCGCGTGGCATAGCAGTAAGCCATGGGCAGGTAGACCTGACGGCAGTGGCACCAGAGAGACGCAGGATGGCCCGGCATCCAGGAAGGAAACAACCTACCACAAAACAAAAAGTTTACCTTAGGTTGAGGGCAGAACATTGCTACTTGGCCTAGCGCAGGCAAACACAAACAGGAGTCTTGGGACATCTTAGAGACAACGTTTCAGAGGGTAGTCGTGTGGGTTTACAGTAGAACAACTAGATTTGAGTCCAGTAGCATGTTAAAGACCAACAAGATTTTGGGGGCATAAGCTTTCAAGAGTCAAAGTTCCTTCGAGCCAGCCTGTGGCAGGCATGTGCGTTGAGACGGTCCGGATTCTATCAGGATTCCTGCCCCCTCAGCAAATTGCCTCAGCGTTCTAAAATCCAGAAGTCTGGAATTCCCAAATGTTAAACTTTCCCCTATTTTAGCCAAAAACTTGATAGAGCTTTTGTGAGCATGTGTGGCCAGGATTTTTCTGCACTGAATTCCCTTGAGCCAGAAATTAGTGCGAGGGCCACTTTTGATACATTTTTAAAAGTGCGCTTTGACTGGATAAGCCGGAAGTCAAAACTGAAGCTGAACACCCTTCCTCCCCCTCCCCCATGACAGCCAACCTGCCCATTGTCATCTATTGCTGTTCGGTTCTGAGAGAAGGTAACTCAAGCAAGTAGGCCGCTGGGGGGAACCCCACCCCCGAAATGGTTGGATCAGGCCCACGCCCCCACCGTGATGACGCCACCCGGAAGTGACATCATCACACCGGGGGCATCACCAGGCAACGGTCTAGCTGTTGCCCCAAAAACTCTATGGTACTCTACGCTAAAGCGTCACCCAGTGACACACCCAATGGGATGACGTCACTTCCGGGTGGTGTCACAGCGGTGCGCACACAAATGTCCCGGGAGGGGACAAAGAGTCCCCCGCTGCTAACAGTAAGAGACTTGGCAACCTTACAAACAAATCAGGTCCGACAATTAATACAATTAAGAAGAAGAAGAGAAGAGAAGAGATTGGATTTATACCCCGCCCTTCACTACCCAAAGGAGTCTCAGAGCGGCTTACAAACCCCTTTCCCTTCCCCTCCCCACAAAAGACACCCTGTGAGGTGGGTGGGGCTGAGAGAGCTCTTGACAGAAACTGCTCTTTTTCAAGGACAGCTGTGCCAGAGCTTGTGACTGACCCAAGGTCACATCAGCAGGTGCAAGTGGAGGAGTGGGGAATCAAACCCGGTTCTCCCAGATTAGAGTCCGCGCACTTAACCACTACACCAAACTGGCTCTGTTGGAATACTGCTTTTAAAATAAGGCTAGGGCAAAGTAAGAGATATACTCTGTGTGTTAAGATTTAAAAAGTTACTTTACTAAAAAGGTAAAAAGAGTAGGGAACGTTTGGATAAAAGAAAGGCAAACAATACATCCTAGCATCTAACTAATGCTAACAGTCCCATTGCTAGAGAAAAGATAATGGCTATTCTTCTCCTTCTCCTTGGTCAGTAACAAAATACCAGAAAGTCAAGAATAAAGACTGTGAATACATGCATACAAGGTCAAAGCAATTTCTACAAATAAGATGCTAACTGACCAATAGAAAGGTTACAGGTCAAAACACCTCCTGCAAAGTTTTCCTGGGGAAGACGGAAGGTTACTTGTAAGTGGATACAAGTTACATAATGTCATGTCCTGTTTACTAACCTATAAAGCCCTACATGGCCAGGGTCCAGCTTACCTAAGGGACCGCCTTTCCCCATATGTTCCCCCAAGGGCACTACGGTCTGGGGCAAAACATCTGTTGGTCGTTCCAGCCCCTAGAGATGTTAAATATGCCGCGACTAGGGCCAGGGCTTTTTCGGTGGCGGCTCCTATCTGGTGGAACGAGCTCCCGGAGGAGATCAGGGCCCTGCGGGACCTTATGCAGTTCCGCAGGGCCTGCAAGACGGAGCTCTTCTGCCAGGCTTTTGAGTAGGAGCCGCCACCGTCACTGTGCCACCACCGCGTTGCCATTTGGGTGACGTGAACTGGCCTTGGGAATGGAGTATGGACATGGTGAAGTACGATCAAGAAGAGACAATAGTGCCCCCTGAAACGTTGTATTGGAGTCCCCGCCTCGGATGACATTATGTGAGCACTGATTTTAAATGTAAAATGCAATTGATTGTTTTATTGGTTTTATTGTTACATATGGCATTCGCCTCTTGTTAGCCGCCGCCCCTGAGCCCATGTGGAAGGGCAGGATATAAGTCTAATAAGTAAATAAATTAAATAAATAAACTAACTGCAGTGTATTCAATAGCTAACATTGAATGCCTATGTTTGTGAACCAGCTCATTGCCACCCATTGTTAAGCTTCAGCCTGGGCTAGGATCCTAATGTAACCAATAGGAGCACTAGCCCAGGACGTGTCATCCAATCACCTCGCAGAGCGGGATCGCTTGTGATTGGCCATTATCTCTTCAACCTGATAGGTTGTTATTTGTACAGTGGGTGTGGCTACATTAGCCGGGAATGTTTAAATACAGAGCTGCCAGTGTATGAACTTCGATGGGTTCTGGCTGGCGATTGTTGTACCGTGTTGGAGAAGTAGCGAAGCTGAAGAATAAAAGCCGCATTCTTGCTGAATCACTCTCCGACTCTTTGTTAAGTTCGCGACTTAACAATAACCATATCAGTTAACCCCATAATGATTGAAATGCAAGCGACTTGTAACTCCGGCAAATACTTACCACATCTCCGGGAGGAGTGTATGCATTCCCTCCCAGCTATAGACATTCAAGACAGCCAGCCAAAATTTACCCCAGGAGGGGATTCCTACAGCGCCACCTGAAAAGCCAAACACAGAAGAGCCAATGGAAATATCTGCTCCATGTAGGGGAAACCGAGGTCATAAGACTCTGCAACAGACTCCGCAAATATGGCACACGCATTTAGAGCCTTTATGTGCCACTCCTAAAACAACGTCTCAACCCTTAGGGTGAAGCCCAGAACAACAAGGTGAAGAAAGTTCTTGGCTGAAACTCGGAAATCTCTTCCTCTGGAAGGAAGCCCAGCTGTAGCCAGAGGCCTTCCCCTGGTCTGTTCCCTCTCTCCGGCTTTTTATTGCAAATACAGAGAGAAACAGCTGCAAGGCTGTTTTGGAAGCATGTGGAACTTGGTGCTGTTACTGCCCCGACAGCCAAAAGCAGGAAAGGGGGGGGGGGAAATAACCCAAAGAGTAGACGCAGACATGACGCGGGAGCCACCGTACTCATCACTTCAGGGTCAAGCAGTCCTCTGTCCTTTTCCACCCCCAACCCCACAGCAGAGGACACTTCTCCGAACGATACCAAGGCCTGATGGGAACACAGCCACCTCACCTCTACTGACCCCTCCTCTTCACACTCTCCAGCCGGCGACTCACCTTTGCTGTGGAGGTTGTTCCGAGCCCGCACGGCGTCTGGGTCGTCAGGACTGACCCCCAGAAGCCGCATGGCTGTGTAGTTGAGGGCGGTACCAAACACCGTGGACTTGTCCTCGATATGCCTACCAGGAAGCCAGTGAGAAGAGATTTAGGATGTCCCATGCTGCCTCTATTGGACAGAAGTCCATTCCTCCCCCCTACTGGCCTGGTGCTAATCAGCACCTACAGAAGCTGAAAAAACCCAAACTGAGAAAGACTAAGGCCTGCAGTTTCTGTCTCACTCAGCTACCTTTAGAAAGCGATAGAAACTGAAGTTTGCAAGAGAAATGACAGACCGCTTTTTAAAAGACAGTCTCTATCAGGGGTCCCCAGTGTGGTGCGAGGGGGCCAACCTCTTTTCTGCTGCCAAGTGTTTTTAGAAAGGGGGGGGCAGGTGGGGCTTTTGCCTAGCAGGGCTTCTGGTTGGCCACTGGAGATTTGACAGGCTGTGCAGATTTTTTTTAAAAGGTTGCTTTGGCAACAGCGGCCCCCACAGCAGAAGGATCATCACTGGGTGACTGAAGATAAGCCACGGCAGCCATTTTGTGGCTGGCTCGGCCTCCTATAGCGGCCATTTTTGTGGCAGCCATTTTGTGGCTGTGCCCACCACCCTGTGTCAGAATTCCAAAGAGGCCTGTAGGCTCAGAAAGGTTGGAGACTCCACTTTGCACTATATATGAAAAGGTCATGATTGAGTCAGTTCCCAGCAAGCCTAGGTCTGTTGAACTGTGGCTTCTTTAAGCCATCCATTATCCTGAGAGCCAGTTTGGTGTAGTGGTTAAGTTCGCGGACTCTAATCTGGGAGAACCAGGTTTGATTCCCCCACTCCTCCACTTGCACCTGCTGGTTGACCTTGGGCAAGCCATAGTTCTGGCAGAGCTGTTCTTGAAAAAGGGCAGTTTCTGTCAGAGCTCTCTCAGCCCCACCTCCCTCACAGGGTGTCTGTTGTGGGGAGGGGGAGGGAAAGGAGTTTGTAAGCCGCTCTGAGACACCTTTGGGTAGTGAAGGGCGGGGCATAAATCCAATCTCTTCTTCTTCTTCTTTCCACAGAACGTTCAAATTAGTCAGAAGAGATCAAGAAAGCACTGGCAACATGAGGGAATGCTGGGCTTGCGCCTTGCTCTTCCCAGCTTAAATGGTCAGATAAACGCCAGGACAGTTGTTGCCCCTTAATGGGCAGAATGTGACCTTCCCAAGAGAGAAACAGGAAAGGTCTGGAAGGTGGAGAACATGCTCCATGGCCTTCTTAGCACCTCTAGACCAGGCTGGCGGGTGAGGGGAGGGAGTGCCTCTGAGACAGGCAGTTATCTCTGAACCTCAACAATGGCCCCAGTCACACGGGCCGGATATCGCGGGGGGGAGGTGTGGCTAATTGCCCCGGCGCAGTTTGATCTGCGATTACGTGATCAGACGCGCCGGCAGCACACCACGGGTCCTTCCCTTGGCGCCGGCGGGTAAATAAGGGTGGCGATCACACGCGCGATCACACCAGCAATGGCTAGGCACCGCTGCCATGACAAACGGGGTCATTTTTTTTTTAAAGACGAAACGGCACTTTCGCTTTCCTCTTTGTGCGCATGTGCCATTGGGTGCTTGTGCGCATTTTGTGGAGACTTGGGGGGGGGGGAACCTGATTGCGAAGGGACATGCACGGGCACCGGATGCCACCACCGGAAACGCGATCAGACGCCAGCTCTTGCCCCACGGTTTCCGGAAACTAGTTTTTAACTCCGCATCTTCGGCGGGAAGCCTCGGGTTCACCACAGGAGCTCTACGCTTCCCAGATGTTGCGGTGTGATCGCGCCTGGAAAATCTGCCTATCTTCCGTCTCTGTAGCGTGGCTAATGCTCCGTGTGACCGCAGCCAGTGTAAAGAAGGCATCAACACCAGCCAGGCTAGTCCACCACGGCTGTTCTCCACAGCCAAAGGTGCTTTCCATCTCTTCCCCTCAAAGCTCATTCATGCCCACTCCAGTCTTTGAGAAGGGGGGGATGCACCTGGTTTATATGCGGTCACCACGAAGGACACAGACATTTGAGATCTGCTACCCCCCCCCCAAAGGGAACACAGTGCCTCTGGCCAATAGTACACCTCAGGTCAACACTTCAGCTCCAGCAAGATGTGACCTTTTTTTTGTTTTGAAGAAGAAGAGATTGGATTTATACCCTGCCCTTCACTAAGAGTGGTTTACAGTCTCCTTTCCCTTCCCCTCCCCACAACAGACAGCCTGTGAGGTAGGTGGGGCTGAGAGAGCTCTCTCGAGGACTGCTTGTGAGAGAAAAGCCTCTGAAAGAACCTGTGACTGACCCAAGGTCACACCAGCAGCTGCATGTGGAGGAGTGGGGAATCGAACCCAGTTCTCCCAGATTAGACTACCCCCTAACCACTACACCAGACTGGCTCTCTTGATGAGCCAGGTGTGGGTGGAACCCCATGACGCAGGCACCACGCAGCTGTCAGGGACTAATTTCCCAAGCATCAAAGGGGCCCGATTCGAACTAGGATCGTGACCGGGGGGGGGCGCTTCAGTATTCACCCCTGCACCATTTTCCCAACCTGAAACAGCCACCAGGGGGAGGTGGTGTTCGTTACCCAAACCTGACTCATTTTTTTTTTAAAAATCACATCTCCTTTCAGCTTTAGACTTACAGAGAGCTTCCATTCAACAGATCAAGAGAAATGTCAGCAAGAATGGAAATTAAAAAAAAAGGGAGAGCATTCATCTCCCACATGCCACACTGCACAGCCCAAGAGAACAGAAGTTTCATCCTTTCCACTGGTTCATTCAAAAGCCTTTTTTTGGGGGAAATTGTCTCCAAACTGCCCTGGAAGTCCTCAAAAGAATACAACTCATCCCAGTCCCAATCCCATCCCATCTTCAAAACATGAGATTTACAAGTAGCCTGAAACATCTTCCTCAACTGCCCCGTTTCAGAAGCAAGGGTGTTCTCCTTTTACTCACAAGCCCCATCCGCCAAACAACTCATCCCAGTCCCAATCCCATCCCCCAAGATCCACTTCAAAACAGGAGATTTACAAGTAGCCTGAAACGTCTTCCTCAACTGCCCTGTTTCAGAAGCAAGGGTGTCCTCCTTTTACTCACAAGCCCCATCCGCCATCGGGGAGCTGCACGGAACGCAAGTAGCGCACCATTTCCTTCCTGCTCTCTTCAGGCAGCGGGATCTTGGCAACGTGGCACGCAATCAGGAGCCCTACGGGACAAAGAGCATCACCGCATCAATTGTTCCGTCAGCTAAAAGAACAAACCCGGGAGCACGTGTTCGAGGGAAGGGCGGAGAGCTCACGGCGGGGTCACGCACGCAACCAGAAGTTACCGACCACATAAAATAAATAAATAAAATCACATCCCTCCTAGACACAGTTGACCCACCCACACTAACCCAAGCTTCTGTCGTTTCGGAGTTAGACTACTACAATGTGTTCTACGTGGGACTGCCCTTGAAGGTAGCTTTGGAAACTTGAACTGCTGTTTGCTTGCTGGCTGACGCAGACTGTCCTAACTTAAGCACATTATTCCCTATTTTGAAACAACTACGTTAGTTTCTTGTTAGTTTCCAGGCTCGATTCAAGTGTGCTGGTTCTCACCTGTAAAGCAATTTAGGACCAAGGGCCCACATACTTGAAGGGCATGATAAAGGTTTATAAAATTATGCATGGGGTTGAGAGGACGATTAAGGGGGGGTGACATGATAAAGGTTAATAAAATTATGCACGGGGTGGAGAGAGTTGACAAAAAGAATTTTTTTTCTCTTTCTCCCCAAACACTAGAACTTGAGGGCATCCAATCAAGCTGATGGGCGGTAGGTTCAGGACGAACACAAGGAAACACTACTTTACACAGAGAGTGATTAAAATATGGAATTTGCTGCCAGAGGATGTAGGATGTAGGCCACAGGAATAAACAGCTTGAAAAGGGGATTAGATAGAATCCTGGAGGAGAAGTCTATCAATGGCTACTAGCCACGGTGACAGAGGGGAACCTCCACATTCAGAGGCACTAAACCTCGGAATCCCAAAGCCAGGAGGCAACATCCGAGGAAGGCCTCAGCCTCTAGGCCACATTGTTGGCCCTGCAGAGGAACTGGTTGGCCACTGTGTGAGACAGGACGCTGGACTAGATGGACCCCTGGTCTGATCCAGCAGGGCTCTCCCTAAAAAAAACCACATGCCACCTTAGATCAGCTTTCTCCTGAGGGTGCCCTGTGCCTAGATGCTGGGCTAGGTGGTTTTCTTATCAAGTTAAGCCTCTGGGCCCCATTGCTGGCTCTCCAGAGGAACTGGTTGACCTCACCACACCATGAGACTAGATGGTGGACTAGATGGACCACTGGTCTGATCCTGCAGGGCTCTTCTGATATCCTTATTAGGGGAAGGCTTCAGCCTCTATGCCCTGTTGTTGGCCATCCAGAGGAACCGGCTGGCCACTGTGTGAGACAGGGTGCTGGACTAGATGGACCATTGGTCTGATCCAGCAGGGCTCTTCTTGTGTTCTTATGACCACCTCTTCCTAAACTAAACCACACGCCAGCTTAGATCAGCTCTCTTCTGAGGGTGCCCTCTGCCTAGCAGGTGAGGAATTCTGCTATGAGAACCTTTTTTTGTTGTTGCTGTTCTGACTACTGAAGTCTGCAGGACTTCTTGGAGAAAGTAGGGAGTTGCCAACAGTGGCTTTGGGGCAATTCAATTATGTTTCGTGGTCCGCTGGCTCGGACAGGCGGAGAGGAAGGACAGACACTTTCTCGTCCATTTACTTTTTTAGTCACAGTTCCATACCTGGCAGCAAGAAGAGAGGCCCACCGTAGTCCCCAGCCCAGTGGCCATCCTCGGCCTGGAGACGAGAATAGAATTTCATTCCGTTCAGTGCCGCCTCCTGAGCAGTACAAGCCTGAGGTAAGACTGGGAGGACTTCACTCTGCCAAAGAAAAATGGAGGAAAAGAAGAGTTGGTGTTTTTTTACCCCACTGTTCTCTACCTTTGAAGGAGTGTCAAAGCAGTTTACAACCTCCTTCCCTTCCTCTCCCCACAATAGGCACCTTTGGGGGCTGAGAGAGTTCTGAGGGAACCGTGACTGGCCCAGAGGGTCACCCAGGAGGCTTCATGTGTCTCAGAGAGGCTTATGATACCTCTTTCACTTACTCCACCC